CCGGAAGGCATAGAAGGGCGCAGTGGTGGATACTGCTTGTGCCCACAGCAAAGGTCCAGAAGAAATCGACGATATCGTCTGCATCATGTGTCACTCTCAAAGCGAATACGATCAAAGAAAGACAGACACGTGAAGAAAGTTTCAAAGGTCGTAAGACGATAAACCTCATTTAGCACAGATGTTGTCTATTTGCTTTATATGATATTACTTCGTGTCATCAAGTGATAAATATTAACTGTAAAACTAACAACCTCACCATAATCACTAACCTCTCCATCTTAGTATATTTTATTCGTAAATAAATAACTCATTTGCAATCATTAATTTCTCATCGCATCACCATTGCAAGGTAAAATACCAAAACACCGAATTCCAGAGACAAACATCCGAAAGAAGTCAACCAGATATTTGAGAACATAAATTGACACGTAACTGGTGACATATTAAGGTAAAGAAGATACAAGTTGGTTGAGCGAAAAGCAAAAGTGTGTGTTATGTTAATTTGTTTGCATAGTTTCCACTTCTTTAGGTTGTTCTCCTAAATTTTCTTTTTCGTCTTTCAAGGCGGGATACTCTTTCACAATGCGAGGTCCATAGAGTAAAACGTAGGCACAGTGCCAGTCTCCACCTCCAGAAAGTTTGAGCACCTAAAAGACATAAAATGGGAATTGACACTAAAAACATGAATGCAGAACGGGTAAAGTGGATGGGCGAAGCATATGCGCTTTCTCATCGGCTATAAGAGCGCCATAGCGAATGATCAATCTCTGCAGGAGTTTCTTTCTTATTCGGGAACTTTTGAAAGAAAAATCCACGACGAATATTACGTCACGAGAATTTTTGCTAACACAATCAAAATTAATTACAATTTTGCTTGCGCATTCCAGAGTGAGTTCTTACTCACCCAAAAACGCCACCATCAGTGTCGGGATAGCACTTTGCGCAGATTTTAGTACTGCAAACGGAGCTTGCCTGCGCGTATGTAGCTTCACCTTAATCTGGTGAAGCGCCAAAAGAAAGTAGTTATACGCTATTCTGACACGAGACTTCAGTATATCGGCATATAGAAGGGAAATTTCAATCTAGGGGGCCCCTATCGTGCTGATCTCGTAACAATTAGTTCCTATTGAACCCTTTGATTTTCTGGAAAATTTTTGAGCAAAAGTTCTGACTGTTACGATTATGTTTGTTGATGCAGAAGTCGCGAATAAATCTTCAAACAAATTCTAGGATCATAATGCTGTTTTTGTTTTTTATTCCATTCTAGCTTATCGTACAACTTTCAGCTGCAGTTCTTATAAAACGACAGGAAATGACTTGAATCCTAAGCTGTATTTTCCAAACTTCTAGCGTTCTTTCTCAATGCACTAAGAATGATCCGCTAGGCGGAGCAATGAATCTATAGGATAATAACGACTTAACGAGTGCATTTCCATCATTCGTGACCTGCAGGCACTGCACCGGCTGCCCACAAATTATACAGGTACCTAAGGATCTCCAGTAAACCTAATCAGTGCTAACAAGGCTCAACAAACTAGAAATAGCCAAACAGACTGATTTCAATACAAATTAGAGTTTCAGCATGAGCTAAAAAATGGAACTACCTGCTCCGATGTCACAGGACTAACGTTCTCATCATCACACATCGCCCATTTATCCTCGTCCAGACGTACCCAAGCGACGTAATGACCAGAATTTGAAGATCGACCTTTGTGCGTGATCACAGCCTAGAACAAGAATTTAGCACAATGATCTAACGATGGCAACTCCAAAATGTTAAGGCGAATATTTTTGATAAAAAGTGATCTATGAAGAAGGTAAGGTTACACATAATTAACTTATTAAGATCTGATTCAATGTTGCAGG